AGGACTATGGCCACTAAGCCAGGAACATGGTTGCAACAGTTGGCATTTATCTGTCATTGATTTTGAATGCACAGTCTAAGGAGATTATCACACATCTATTTTCCTTTATCAAACTGATATTTGTAGAGGAGTCATTTTAGTTCTGCATTAAGCCTACATGAAACAGCAGCCGCCAGGTGGCTCTGGATCTTGTTATCTTGCGCCATAGCAAATACATTAGCAAAGTTATATCTCCCTCTTTCTTTCTCTCCCCACCTCTCTGTTTAATGAAACCAACACCTTGATTGAAGAAAAAAATCACAAATAAATATAAAGTGATGGGTGATGTAATTAAACCAAGCCTACTATCTTAAAACACTGTTACTAGGAAGAAAATCCTGTTCAACACAGTGAGACCTACTTCCAAATACTGGAGAGGAATGTAAGATCAGCTTTTCAAATAGCTAGATTCCTCTTTACACCCTTCTATATTGATGCACCGTTTCAGATGTCATAAAGATCACATCACTTGCTTATGGCCACCTGCAGGGCAAGAAAGAATTAAGAATATTTACTAGAAATATATCATGCCAAACCATGTTCTTCTGCCTTATTGAGCAGATCTGGGAAGACTCCAGGCTTCAACTTGTAGTTGAATTATATATATATATATATATATATATATATATATTCCAAATATGTATACATATCCATATCTATATATCTATATATACACACATATATACATATATATGTATATGTATGTGTGTGTATGTATATATATATATATATATATATATATATATATATATATATATATATATATATATATATATAATTTTTTGCTAGAATCCCACATCCAGCAGTGAAAAGTGGATGCAAAAAAGTGTGAGCTGATCCTAGCCTAGGAATTGGTTTTCAGTATTGGAAGATGTCAGCCACAGATGCTGGCGAAACATCAGAAAGAAACTCTTCTAGAACCTGGCCACACAGCCCGAAAAACCCACAAAAAACTATGGATGCCAGCCATTAAAGCCTTCGACTTCACAGAATAAAGTCATCTTCATTGTGGGATTTTCATGCCTTTTGATCCAAAACCTTGCAGAAGTCCTGAGATCTCATGAGAGATCCTCATAAGGTTGCTTGCCTTGTATACGTACAGTCCTCTATGCATGTACAGTCGGCCCTCCTTACCCACAAATTCAACCACACGTGGCTTGAAAATACATTCAGCCCTCCACATTTGCAGTTTTGACATTTGTGGGTTTGATTATTCATGGATTTATTTAATACTTTCTCGCTAAGAATCTCTAGGTCCATCAGCATGATCCTATTGTCAACTTCCACCAAAAGATATGCCAGAGGACCTGGAGATTGCTAAAGAGAATACTTCTCTCGTCATTTGTAGGACTTCCAGTGCAATTTCTTGATCAACTTCTGGCAGATCTTGACCACCGAATTGCCCTGGAGAAACCTCTCAGATTAAAAAAAAAATAGTGTTTTTAGATTTAAAAAAAGAGTATTATTTGGGTTTTTCCCACTTTCACGGGGTCCTGTGCCCCTAACCCCAATGAATGTCTTCCAAATATATAAATTCCAAAGAGCAAAGCTTGCTTTTGCCCTTTTGTATAAGGGACACCATTTTACTACCCGGTTGCACACAATGGGACTTGAGCATCCATAGATTTTGGTATCGACGAGGAGTCCCGTAACCAAACCCCAGTGGATAACAAAGGTGCATTTTATGTAGAAAACCTGGCAATCTTAATTTTGATGCCTCCACAAACTGGATGTAATATGGAGGAAGAGGTCAAACATATGAGGCAGGAAATCTGCAGAACATCAGAGGAGCCTTTTCCAATTTCCAGTTATAACAAGGAAATGCCCAACACCCCTGAGTCTCTCCTTCTGCGCTAGATCCTTTTGGTCTTGGTTCCCTAATTAGAATATATTTTAATAACCTTTCGGAGATCTGAAGAATGCAGCCTTTTATAATCCTTGCTTCATTTTGGGTTTGATTAAAGTGACCTTTCAGTTTTAGTATGGAATTATGCTCCGGTCAGAATTTGACAAGCTAAATGGTTTGTTGCTTTGGCTTAACGGAGAAGGATAATTTTTTAAAAGTAGGAGAAATGACTACTGCTGGTGGTACTATTTCATCCATGTTGACTGGGCAGCCAGCAGAGGTCCTCCTGGACCACTCCGATTTTGCAAAAAGCCGGAAGAAAGCATCCACACTAATGCAGACTTCCCACCATGGCTAACCTCCAGATCTGGCTGTTTCTGTTTTGTTTTGTTGCTTCCTATAGGAAATGGAGACAGAATTTCTTGCAGTCTTATCACCTAGAAGGGGAGGGCACTGTTTCACAGGTGAAAGATTAGCCTTTCCTTGCAAGATTTCCATCTAAAAATGCACATGAATTAGGGCATTGCTGAGCGGCGTGGTCTAGCCGAGAAGAGCATTGCATGAGCATACAGAAGGCAAGAGAAGCGGCAGAGAAATAAGCCTTGTTGCATTGCTATGACTTACAGTCCTCCACAAGCCATAGCATTTGGCAACATACCATTTGACCAAATGTTATAACCACAAAAGAGGACAAGGTACCCCCAAAATGCAGGACGTTCACAAGAGAAATGGGAGGGGGACACAAAATAAAAACTTAAAGCACTCCTATAAATATACATTCATCTCATATGGTTTATTTACAGCTATATTGATGTCTGATGTTTTTAATTTGTTGCCTCCTTTGTATTAATATGTATTATTTTATTATTTTGTAGAAGGTATGGCATCGGCAGGCTTATCTTTATCTATCTTTATCTATTTTATTGACTGTATGTACAATAAATCTACAGCACTATATAAATCTATCTATCTATATATAGTGTAATACTATATAATATAATACTATATATATATATATATATATATATATATATGTGTGTAAATCTACAGCACTATATAAATAAAGCGTAATAATAATAATAATAATAATAATAATAATAATAATAATAATAATACATATATAGTATTTTATTATGTACTCAACTGTATTTTCCTGGTGAACATAGCTTTGTTAAAATTCCTTGTTGGCTTGCAAGATACCTGTAAGAACTCTGAGCAAGACAAAGGCTTCAAATTGTACTTTGCTAGCAACAAACCCATGACTGGATCTCCATTTGAATTATTCCTCTCATTTGTCCATGGTGCTGAAATTCAGGGGGAAACCTGTCCACATTTGCATTGTATCCTCAAGGAATCCATTGACTAACACGTTTGCTGTCCTTTTCGCCTCCAAGAAACAAATGCACCCTGAGCTCTGGGTGCAAGTCTTGTCTGTTGCTGCTACTCCTAGGAAAAATAATGTTCAACATTTCTATCCTATCCCTCTACAGCAGGGGTAGGCAACCTTTCCCCTTTAAGGGCCGAGGGACTTCAGCTCCCAGAATCCCAGGAGCTATTGGCCAACATGGGACTATTGGCCAACATGGCTGAGGCTTCTGGGAGCTGAAGTCCCTTGGCCCTTAAAGGGGAAAGGTTGCCTACCCCTGATCTACAGGCTGCCAAGTAGACACATTTCTCAAAGGGGAACAGCCAACTCAATGTGCTTCTTACTCATGCTCAAAATGGAGGACATTTTGGGATTCCTCCTGGATGGAAGGTTGAAATGTAGGACATGGATACAGAGCATAGCAGCGAGTGGTAAAACCCAAGGAGCTCTATTGCAAGAATTCAAATTCACCAGTCTGGAAGAGTCCTATACTGACACTGGATGTATCATGATGATGATTATTTGACCTCCCTTTAACCATGATGAAATAAATGTTTGTATATAGTTGTGTGTGAAACAGAGCATATTCTAATTTTATTCTTATGCAACCACCAAGAAACTATGTGCACTTTCTTTGGTAATAGTATTTACACTTTGCTAAGTTACCAAAAGGCTTCTAGATGGAATCTCACAACTGATCAAGGACTATTCTGCATTTCCATGGAATTTACCATCTATCCAAGAGTCGCACATGCATAAGGAAACAAGCTCTTATGACAAATGAGATCAAGCAAGAAAGATTTGGTTCACTGGTATCTTACAAATCTGTGGCCGTTCCTTCCTCAAGCAGCTTCTTCTGTTTCCCATCTCAAAATCAGCTGAGGCTTAAAAATTTCAATACCATCCAGGCAAGCGGCATATGTTTCAGATCAGTGACTTTCAAATGTTTAACATACAGAAAACTGCTAGCATTATGGAATATAAATTCAGTACCAACGTGCATCGGCTGAAACGCTTAGGCCATTAGTGTTGCTATTGCCTGCCTTTCCGCAGTCAAATGTTTTTCTCTGACTATGGTATAGCTGGACAAATGAATGCAGGTTGATGATGATGATGATGATGATGACGATGATGATGACTATTGCTATTGCTGATGCTATGACTTTCTTTTTGGCTCAACAGCGCCATTCTCACAGTGCTTCCAGTATTTATTTTACAACTTAATGTGGAACTCATCTCATTCTGCTAACAGATGGCATTGGTATTATTTTAGCCTTCTGCAACGAATGGAAAGGAACAAACATTTTATTCAGTTGTAAAATGTGATCTTGTCTCTTTGGAAGGAATAACATAATGCCATAAAAAAAACCAAGAAGGGAGTAAGGGACCTACTTGTGGACCATCTGGGGTAATGGGAAGACCATACAGCACACAAGGCTGCCAGACAACAACAACTATTATTACTATTACTATTACTATTACTATCATCATCATCATCATCATCATCATCATTTCTTACCCATCTCTCCCCATTGATCAAGATGGGGGACAACAACAAACAATGGGAGAGAAAAAAGAGAGCAACAATTAATGTATCTGATAATTAGTAATTAAATAATTACATAAAAATGCAAATTTGCATAATATATAAACCAGGTGCCCAGATATGTGGGCATGGAATATGGCAAGCCTGTATTTATAGCATTTATACTGGATGCTAGGAAGGTAGTATTGAATTAAGTGCTGGAAGCCAGTGTGGCGTAGTGGTTTGAGTGTTGGACTTTAACTCTGGAGGTCTGGGTTCGATTCCTAGCTCAGCCACGCAACCCATTGGGTGACCTTGGGCAAGTCACACTCTCTCAGCCACAGGAGAAGGCCATGGCAAGCCTCCTCTGACCCAATCTTGCCAAGCAAACCCAATGATAGGTTCACCTTAGAATCGCCATCCTCTGCAAATGATCTGAAGACACACACATGCACAAACTGCCTTGAGAACCCTTCCCTGGCTTTTGAGCAAATCTTTCCGGCATCCTTCTATCCAATTTGATGTTTTTGATTTAAGAGCTGTGCATCATGAACTGCAAAGGCCCAGAGCTTGGTCTGACTTTTGAAGGCCATTGTCCTTGCAAAAGAAACCTATCGGGAATTGTCGTCGCTTT